TGCTGGATCAGCCTAAAACCACGACACTTACGTTTCCAAAAGTGGCCTTATTCTGCATCCAAGGAATATTCCAGTGAATACTATTACATTTTCCCATTGCTGGGGTGAGAAAACACTAGAGTATCTTTTTGTTACCCTGTCTGGAAGATGATTGCGAGGATGTTGATACAGGAGAAGATTGAAGGGTGCATTGTCACTATTAAGGGTGACAGGTGATCTTAAATCTTCCTCTGATCCATGAGACTGTCTGGGAAAAAATCCAAACCCACCAACAGTAAATTAAATATTAGAAGGGTACAGAGTCTACCTTCTGCTGGAGGTGACTGGTTGCCTAAAAACCTCCAGAGGCTGGCTCAAGGTTGCCTAAAAATCAGAAAGAATTGCTGAATGCAGGGCGCAAAAGTCTGGTAATTCTCATGCTCCTTCGCAGATTTTTGTTGCGTGAGAAGATACTTGTTTACCAATTACTTGCCTTTGGCTGATGTCTGCCACATGGAATTGCCGGTCAGTGTACGTCTTCCAACTGTATGGATTCTGCTGCTGCTACTCATATTTCAGTCAAAGCAGCTGGAATTATACTGTTTAAAAAAGAACAAAAAAACCCACCAAAAACCCTGGCTGCTGGGCAGCAGTGAAAATACAGTAAAATATGGAGGTATATAAATTATTCATTAGTAAATAAAGGTAGCTTTGAAATGCTGAATCCATGCACAGAGGAGCATCTTGCACGCACAGGAGGAGGACTGGTGACAGTTGCCTACTCTGTCTGCCATCCGCACCCAACGTCCACACTTGCTGACATCTGATGTTGTAACGTGGATCTGAACCCTTCCTTCCTTCTTCTGAAAACAAGGAGCACAAGAGGGAGAATGATACGTGCTTCAGTTTTAATTGTAGGTAGAAATACATGTGTTCTTTCTGCCCTTGCTCCTGGAAACCTTTTTATTTACTTTCCTATTTCCATTCTTTATAATATTTTGATTGTTTAGTGCTAATTCAGAGAAGGTTTGCATTTGCTCCGTTCTCTCTCGCCACCTCCCCGTCTCACAGCAGCAACAGACAGAGATCTGCATCTCATCGTTTTTGGGGAATGGTTATTTATCTCATAGTCATTGTGATGACGAAACCCATTCTGAGGGATTCAAAAGCGGAATACCAAAGGATTGTCTTGGTTGGTGAAGTACAGTCTGACTGAAACAGCTGAATTCTGCAGGGTATAGATGCAGATGAAGCCTTTGTTGGTGTGATGCACTTCATTTATTACTCTTAGGTTGATCGAGCCAGTGAGAAGTGAATCTCATGATTAAAAACCATGGTTGAGTCTGCTCTTAGCGTGACCTGTGTTTGAGCTAGGTGGGTTTTTGTGTTTCAGTGAAAAAAGTGAATGTGTTGCTAATAAGATACTTGGAGTCAGGCAGATACAGTTCTTACTCTTCAGGCTGTCTGTCGAGAGCGGAGTTTGCCCATGGCGAGAGGTGGGAACGTAAGAGTGCGCTGTGTCCCGCTGTGCTGGGCAGGGTGACTTACTGCCAGTGGGAATGAGGATGTTCTCAGTAAGAAAACGTCCAGCGTTTATCTCCATTTTATGGATGATTTCAATCATGAAAGTAATCCTAAAAGTTTTAGCCTTGAATTTAAGGTTGATGGTTGTCAATTGCATTTGGATGAAGATTTTCAGAATGCCCAATGTGGTTAGGGTGGATTGGAGCCCTCAGCTTCACGTGTTGAGATCTGGGAAGAGGGGCATAAGGCAACTTCTTTTGTTCTTTGTGGCTTGCTGTGTGGAACAGGGCTTCTTCTTGTATCTCTGCCTGCCTTAAAGCTTTGGCTCAGTTCTGCCTATAACAAAAGTTACCAAGCAGAGAAGGTGGTGCATACAGACTCAGGAGCCCTTCACATGCCCACCAGTTCCACCAATGACACTGTCATTTCCTAGTCTCCTTTTGAGGACTGGCCGTTTTTTAGCCCTGCTTCATGCTGGACCCTCAGGGCTCAGCTTCATAGACTGAATGCTTCCACACTGATGAAGCAGCTCCTTCCTGCTCCCAGCCCCCCATATCGTGGAGCTGTGGGTCTCATACTGAGAACCTGTTCCTGACCCCAGGACCATGGGGGCTCGAAAATGCCAGCTCACAACTAAAAAGGGTGAAGACTGGGGCAGCCCACAGTCATTGGGAATCTGAAGGACTGGAGAAGGGAGAGTCAAGACCCTGCCTTGCTGAGCGTGCATTTGCGCTTCCCTCTGCTTGCTTTTCTGGGCACAGTGCCACGTCTCCTGTCAGCAGCCCTTTCCCTGATAGTGGGTTAGAAAGGAGGGTGGGAACGCCTTGTGTCATAGAACGAGCCAAGTGCTCTCTCTGCTTTCCTGGGATTTCCCAGCTGTACTTCAGAGAAACATTGAATTAAGTCTTTCCAGCAAAGCAAAATCCATTATTAAAATACATCTTGATACATCTTACTCAATAGCTTTGAAATACACAATTGCCAAGTGTTACATGTAGAAGAGGTTCAGGAGGAGGAAGATCGGGAGGAAGGTGTTTGTTAGTACAAATGTTTGGTGGGTGAGCTATGTATGTTAGAGCTTCACTTGTGCTCATTTGAAAAAAACCAACACTGATGTTCAAGTGTACGTGCAATATTTAATTGTTTTGAAAGTTGGAAATTATGTTTTACGTGTATAAAAACCTCTTACTAAAACATATTTATCCTTTTATAGGCAAAGTACCCTTTATTCATGTGGGAAATCAAGTAGTATCTGAACTTGGGCCCATAGTCCAGTTTGTAAAAGCCAAGGTAATAATAGTACATTGTCATCTTCAGTTACTGAATAGCTTGTTAATCCTGTTTAGCATTGTGCTGATCTGGTGTGCTCTTCTGGAATGTTATTTAATTTGTTAAAACAGTGTAGAAATCTAGTGCTGGTTTGAAATAAAGATATCTTGGAATAGGAGTTTGCTGAGGTGGAAATGTTTTTCTTTGACACTTACTCAAATTCTGGAAGTAAATTCTGTGTGGGATAGCTGCATACCATTGCCAGTTTCTGAGACTGTTTTTCTACGTGCCCTGTCTCTTGGTCTCAGAGCTCTTAAACTCAGAACTGACTAGTTTAAATCTTGAAGTGTCAGATACTGTTCAAATTTGCCTTTGCTTCCCTCCCTGTCGCGTATTTTTAAAATGTCTTTTTGCTGAGCAGTTGATAAAGCTGTATCACAGATGTAAATTTGTGTTTACTTCTTGCCACAGAGATAATAGTAACCAGGAGACTGTGTGCTCAAACTGTATTCACCAATAACTGATAATAGTCTACATTTTTTGTGGATTAGCTGTGTTACATAATGATAATTTATTTTTTGATTCTAAAGGACACTCTATGTAAAAATTGCATATGTAATTTGTTACTGAACTGGGTAAGAGAGGATCTGAGCCAAAGCTCATTGATTTCAGAGGTCCTTGGGTCAGGCATCGCTGAATATTCCAATATCCTTTCTTACATGTGTGTCTTTTTTTTTCTTTTGCTCATTAGGGTCATTCTCTCAGTGATGGGTTGGATGAAGTCCAAAAAGCTGAGATGAAAGCCTACATGGAACTAGTCAATAATATGCTCTTGACAGCAGAGGTACAGCAAACCATAGTAACTCCACATGTTGACATAAGTGTCTATAGGCAAGAAAGCTTTAGGATTTTTCCCTGTATTGGAAATGCTGATTGTTCTTAGATTAGGTCATCAACTTTTGAGGTGAAAGGAGGCAGGAATAAATTCTCTGTACCCTATGGATTGCTTGCTGAAATGTTCCTGTAGACACAAGCCACAGGTATGATTCCCCTGACCTACCTGAAGTATGTCACCTAGCTGTAGAAGTAACCGATGTCCACATATGGAAAATGCTGGTGGCTCTTGGGATCCTACTCCACCCCGCATCTGGCCAGGCACTCCACTGTCGCCTTCTGCAGTATGTGTGCTCGTGTGCCTAGTGGGAGGCTGGGATCCCCTGTGGTTCGTGTTCATGGCCAGTGAACATGACACAATCCCAGTGTAGGAACAGCAATGGAAATGCTGGCAAGCTGCAGGTGGCTGAGAGCTGCAACCTGTGTGCTGAGTTGTGTGCGGCATGGGCAACAGGAGCGGGCCTTTGGTCTCAGCTTGGTCCTGCTGCTGGCGAAGCAAGGATTAGCAACTGGGCTTTATTGCTAGAATTTATTTTCTACGTTCAGAGGTGTAACAGAAGAAATGGAATGGAAATTTAATTTAATATAGAAAGGAAAATTCTACTAGTGAGAAATTATTGTCTCTGTATTCTCCTTTATTAAGAAGTTTTAGTAAGTGTTCTTTTTGTTCCTAGCTCTATCTCCAATGGTGTGATGATGTTACAGTAGAGGAGGTGAGTGGTTCTGCAGCATTTATCTTAATTAAAATTTAATGAGAAAACACTTTTGCTCACAATTGCAAGTCCCTACTCATAAATGAAACATTGAGGTTTATACCATTAATGATACAGTCTTTTCACTTTAATTTCACTTGCATATACATTTTAGGGAAGTTATGTCGTTACTGGAGGTAACTGACTACAAAATAGCTATGGGTTTTGTATGTTTCTGAAGTAATAGTTTTAAATGGTTATACTGCAAACTATAAATTCTGTGTAAATAATTACAGCATATCATACAACTCGCTTTCTCTTTTACAGCTGCCTTTCTGACAGAAATATGTGAATATTAGCTATTTTGTGCATAGAGGTATTTTCTTATATTATAACACAGTACTTTTCTGTTCTTATACAAAGATTACTCACCCAAGGTATGGCTCTCCTTACCCGTGGCCTCTTAACCGCATTTTGTCCTATCAGAAGCAATGGGAGGTAAGGCGAAAGATGAAAGCCATTGGATGGGGTGGCAAGACACTTGAACAGGTCAGTATGGAAAGTGAAGCTTATTGCTTTATATTTTTTTGCTTCTTTTTTTTTTTTTTTTTTAAAAAAGGCTTTGGAGAGTAACACTTTCTTGAAACAAATGTAGTAAAAAATATATTCTGTACTTAAAACATTATCTGGAGTCAGATACTTGCCTTCAGCAGCAATAAATCTTAAACTGTGTGCAACCCAGTGGGGCGGGAGGCTGTTTTACCATGAGCGTGCACCTCTGGTGATGTTGGTTTAGGCCGTATTCCTGAACATAGGTTGTGAGTTACAGCCCCTGCTTCCTGTACGGCGTTAATAGGCATGTTTTGCAGGATTGCGGCTTCCCTTGTCAGAGGTATTAAAAGGGGGAAAAAAAATGGTAAAAAGGCACAAAGCTGTTTTGAGGTATAAGTTAGTACCTTTAATTAAGCTAAGTTATAAACGTTATGGGAAGCACTTAATCAGAATTGCTTTATATCAAATGTTAGATTAAGTAACTCAGCTACCTGCCTACTGCGTAAGTTTGACTGACTTCAACAGTTTTTGATGTTCCAACATTGTATGTTCCTTGTTCCCACTGTCAGTGCAAATACAGTAAGAAGGTTATTTTTTGCAATGTTGGTATTTCCTGACAATCTTTTCTCTCTTGTGTGGTTTGATAGGTGCTTGAAGACGTAGATCAGTGTTGTCAGGCTCTCTCCCAGAGATTAGGAACACAACCATATTTCTTCAATAAGCAGTAAGTTACTCTTTACTAAAATACTATGTTCAGGAATGTGAGATACAGATACACATCCACATATCTATCTATCTGGAAAACTTTTATTTTAATGCTACATGATTACTTGAGGAAATAAAAATGTATGACTGGAATATAAACATTAAATTTCAGAAATAAGTAATTAAAGGCTTTAAAAGGAAAGTTTTTCTGTAAGTTTCTGTTGTGTTTTTTTATTTCCTGTTTATGATTTAGTTTTACTCCTGCTTGTCTTCTCTACTGAGTGTACCACAACTTATGTAGGCTGCAAATATACACATTTACGCAGTTAGTTTCGTATTAAAAATCATACATTTAAAGCTTTACTTGTATTTTTTGGGTAACATTCTCCACTAGGTACAGGGAACTGAATGTACCTCATGCCGTCCTGATGCCCAGGACAGCTTCTCTTGCCCATCTTAACACCAGGGCAGCTCTGAATGAACTGAACTAGTGTGAGAGTCCCTGTGAGTTCTAACAACTTGGGGGAGAAGCTAGCCTTGTATCAACAAAGGATCATTTGCAAAGTGAAATCAGATTCACATTCCCAGGGGAGAAAAAGGGAACAACCTGGCCTCATGGGATGTCCTCTGCTTTCATTCGTTTCTTCTAATTGCAAAATGCTGCTTTTTTTTTCTTCTCCAATAATTCAATGTTTTTGAAATGTTGTGGATTTAACTAACATCGTATTAGTTCCCTCTTGTCTCTTGTGCATAGACTAGACTAGAAATGCTGAGGTCTGGACTACAGTTAGCTACATTTGGACAGGGAGAGACCTTCAAAAGGCAGCATATGGTTTGGGTTACTTTCCTGCCTGTGTCTTTGCCCCTTAATCTTTTCCAAGTTGGGTTAGGTGTATAGTGTAAATTGAGTGGATACAGAAATATGCATTATAGAAGACAAGTTTGAATAGTATCTTCTCAAATAATTCTTAAATATAGTATCTCCTAAATTTTCGTTCTGTACTTGTAAAGAATTGTAGCTTGGGGATTTTGGTTTTGTTGTTTGTTAACCAGGCTTTCTTGATACAGTTTCAACCTTTAAGCTTTTTAGCTGTCTGACATATTACTAAGAAAGTATGTGTTCTTAGTCTCTATTTCAGTCTGTGACTTCTAGGAGTCTGTAGAAGGTAAATAAGAAAAGCATCCTGTTCCTGTAGATTTAACTTTGTTATACAAGGGTCCACATCTCCATTGGAGAGCGATCTACAAATACAAAGGCAAAAAAATTAACAGTTAGAAAACCCACATGCAGCCTACCTTGAACACTAGTAAAGAAGGACTCAAGTTATTAACATTTGAAAAAATACATTTTATTTGCACATGGGCTACTTACATACAAAGGTCCAAGATGACAGTTTGGAAGGCTTGTACCTAAAATACGGTAGGACTGGAAACATTCAATAGACCACTGTTTCTTAAAATACCTATTTTCTTCTGTGTAATCCCCTTTCAAAATAGAGATGTTTCCAGCTGCTGTCACCTTGGAGCTCTTTTTTGTATTGATTGAATAGGCCCTGACTATTGAAAAGGACAAACAAGGAATTGGGGTTTTATACTTTTTTTTTCCCACTCCCCCCTCTTTTTTTTCCTTTTTTTTTTTTTCTCCTGAGAGATAATAGCTGGAGGTTTTTTTTTATATATATATGCAGAGGAAAAAGAAAAACCCCCAAAAGACTTGATAAGCATTTGCCCTTTTTACAGAACTAAAAGGTGGAACATAGTTTGATACTGGATCAATAACTCTGCCCCTTCTAAGAAGTGTTATTTCCATATTTCCAAGCTACCAAAATCAAAGAAAGATGCCATACTGAGAACTAGCAGTATGCTTATATACCGTATACGCAGTTTTAATGCATATGGTAAGGTCAGTGTTGCCTGGTTTCTTCCCAGTTCTTAGATTGCTTGGCTATCTAAAAGTTATTCACAACGGCAGGGTTTTTTCTTGATCAGGACTTGCCTTCCAAAATACCTGCTCTTTTTTCTGTTTGTTTTTACAGACCAACTGAATTAGATGCTCTGGTATTTGGACATCTGTTCACAATCCTTACTACTCAATTAACCACTGATGAACTCTCTGAAAAAGTGAAAAACTACAGTAATCTCACAGCCTTTTGTCGGCGAATAGAGCAGCAGTACTTTGAGGGTCATGATAAAGATGGCTCTGCAACTGTTGCAGCCCGGTCTGCTAAGAGGTCCTTACTGAGATAAGCATGTTGCTTGGTGGCTGGGGTGGATTGCATTTCTGTTTTGGGTTCTGTTGCCCAATGAATTGGTTTTGAGAATGGAAATGTGTGTTAGCTTTTTGAAGCTGCCAAATTGTTCTGGAGTAAGAGAAAAAAACTCTAAGCGCAGTTTTCGTGTTGTAGAGTATACTGTGCACATTTAACCTGAAAAGATTGTATGGGCACTTCCATTTTAATAGCCTGTATGCCACTTACTCTGAAGTGACCTTGAAAAAATATTGTATCTGTATTAAAAAAATAATAAAATCCTTTAGAAAGTTTCTCTCTGATCTTTCTAAATGAGTTTCTTACTAAGTTTTATGTCTGTGTAATTAATGTCTGTGTAGTTAATGAGTAGGATCCTGTTGGCAGGACACCTGGAAGACAGTTGCATGGTAAACTAGTTAGAATTATTAAGCTGGGAATGAAAGGACTCATTAGAGATCTTAAATTTGCCTGCCTCAGCCAAAATTCATTTAGGAATTGGGTGACAAAAACATCTTGGAGCTTTGTGGCACACAAATGATGTGATTTTTTTTTTTCCCCCCATCAGTTTTTATTTTGTGTCAAAGTAGCTCCTAGCTGTCATTACTTCTTATGTGTGTCCTGCCTCTGCTTTTATTTCTTGTCCATGTTTGATTTTGTGTGTACCTTTTTTTTTTCCTTCATATGATTTCCCAGTTTTAATCCTCAGCTTGTCTTGCTCTTTAAGAAATTTGCTAGGTCTCACCATTTTCACTTCCAGTATGTTAATGTTGCTTCTGAACTTTGATGTACTTGCTGGGCTGGTTCTTGTAGCAGAAGGACTTGGTATGAGCCAGTGGCTGGCATGCCTTGGTCCTTCTGCCTCTGAATTATCTTATAGTACATGTAGTCACAATAATACAGCAGTGAACAAAGAAGTATCATTGTGGTGCTCCAAAACCCATGGCAATGTGGAACTTTTCAAGGCAGAGTTCCTATGTGTAGGCAAGGACTTGATCTAATTAGTATTTCTTCAAACGCATTAAATAGCACCGCTCTGTTCTACTTTGTCAGTTGTACTTGACCTTTTCCAAAAGCGCCAGCAGCCCCAGGAATACGCTGGTGGCAAAACCAGTCCCTGTGCACTTGGGAAGTCCTGGGCACAACTGGGAACCAGCTCAGGCTGTCTGGCTAGTTGGAACCATTGTGTTTTCTCACTGTGAAGTTTATTCTTTTAACTATACTTCTCAGTGTCAAAATACTTAATGGCTTGAACTGGTTATGCAATGGTCATGAGATTTTTGGCTGCCATTTCCTTCTCTCTTAAAAACTGAGCAGAAAGCAGCTGCGTACCTTGGACTGATAGATACTGGGTCTCTCTTGCATCTGTGGCTTATGAACCACTACTGCTTAGTCCTTCCCTGTGGGTGACCACTCATGTTAGCTCAACTGGAAAGTGGAGCCAAATTCTTACTGCCTGCTTTTTGATACAGGAGTCCTACTGGAGTCAAACCGATGTAAGTATCGATGCCTATGTCTTGGCCTTTTATCAAATTGCTCTTGCCAGGAGAGGACAATAGCCCTTGTCTTGCATTTCAGTCTTAAAATTTCACGTGTATATGTTGAATACCTTTTCAAACTAAAGCACATCAGCTCTTGACTGCTTAGTGACAATTTCTTCTATCAAAGCACTTGGTAGCTGAGAACCCAGATACTTCTTTTGAACCTCCTTTTCTGCATTGATGCAGCTTCTGAAAAAACGAAAAAAAAAAGTTACGAGTTTTTTCTTAGTTTGGAGAGAATATTATGATATACAATACTTTGAGAGGAAAAACACTAATAGTCTCTAAAGCCAGTAGTGCCACAGTGATGGGAAAATCCTGTGTGAAAACTGAAGTATCGGAATTCTGAGCAATTAAACTTGCCTTTTACCTCCTGCTATTTACAGAGCACCATTCATGAGTAAAGATTTTAACCTAGCTTCTGTGGTTTTGGCAGTTATTCTGCTACCAGTAGACTGAGATACAGGGGTAATTTACTTAATGGATTTCCAAACCCATCTATGCACAGGCATTAACTTACACGCAGTCTGAAAAAGTGCAAGTGGGCATATGTTCCTCCTCTTTGAAGGTTGCAGTGGCCATCAGCCAACTTGTAGCCAAATTTTAGCAATTGCTTTGAAACAACATTGAATTAAACCATGTTTTTATATTTTGGCAAGGTTTCCGTGGGGCAGAGCAAGTGCTGGAATACAACGCTTTGAATGCTGAACAGATAGTGATTGCAAATTTTGTGTGGTAACCTACAGCAAGCTTTGTAACTACAGAGGATTAAAAAAAACCCCACTGAGGTAGCCATATGCATTAACTCACTTTGAATGTCTCATTTAGAAAATATACTCAAATGCTGTGGAAGTGGTTTGGGGGAAGATACTGATCTGTTAGAAACAAAGTTTGTGTAAATCCGTCCGAGCTACTCAGACTGCACTTAAGGATACAGAGACAGGCAAATTACACCGAGTTTTCAATATTGAAGTGAGAGGACAAGCAGAGACTGAGCTCTGGAAGCTAAACTAAATAGTTTCTGAAAGTTTAACCACCCCTCGTTCCTTGTGTGTGTCTTTGATAACTTAATTACTAAAGCAAAATTTAAATGGGAAAAAATGTTCTTTACTTCCTTGACTGGAGAGCATACTTTCTATACGGCACGTTTGCCACAGGGCTGGTCTGTAGTTCAGGCTACACCTCATTCTAGGCGATACCTAAACTTAAAGCTACAAGGAAAATCTTGGCTTTGCTACCAGTGTTGAAAATAGCTATTAAAATCCTAGGCAAAGGACATACCTTGTGCTTCGTAAATAGAAGAAACCATTAGGCTTTTTTTTTATATGACGTCGCTAGCATGACTAGTGCTACAGAGCAGACTGAGCCGAGCACTGAGGACCAAAGCTTGTAAGCTGTGCTTTAACTCTGGGAAGCTGCAATCCTACAAAGGGCACTGGTGCTGGTTGCTCTTGAAACGCTGTGTGCAGTTCAAGAAAAAGAATGGAAAGTTGAAACATGACCAGCAATAAAACAAGTTAAGGGTGGAAAAAACCCAAACCAACCCAAACCCACTAACCTTTCTGGCGAGGGAGTTGAGCAAGTCAACCAACCTGCCTTATTCCAGCCCAAGGAAGGACAGAGGGTTTTGTATTAGGTCGAGTGGCCCTCTAGTAGACAAGGCTGTATGGGTGCAGTCTGTGAGGATTTTACTCTTGGGTTGTGTGTTTTTCTAGATCTCCCATGACTGAAGTACAACCATTGCCCCAGAGGCAGGAATCAGGCCAGGAAGGCCCATGGTCTGTCTCATGTATCAGGACAGTGTGGATGATGATTTTCTTTCTTAGCTGTTCAAGCTCCCAGAGGCTATTTTAGGTAAAGAAAGCAGACAGCTGGAACTTCTTATGTTTCTCAAAATTAAGACAAAAATTAGATTTTTAACAGAAAGAAGGTCGGGAACAGCTGTACCATGGCTTAACGTACATCCTCTGAATATGCCCCACTAGGAACTGCAGGAGTCACTCAACCAAAACAGTACACAAAGTCATAAAAGCGCTTGTAACTACAAGTCAATAGATGTTACTGAGTCTGACCAACATATACATCACTTGGCCATGGTAGTTTGCTTCTTAGAGTCTTTTTGTTCCATGAATTAAAAGCTTCATATGGAGATACTCGAGCTAAATGCTAGTTGGAAAGAAGCAGGTGCTTTCCTTGCTTGATGGAACTAAAACAATTGGGAAAGTTCAGGTGAAAACAGGACTGCTCCTCCATTCCCAAGATGCTTCTTTGGGATTGTGGACTAATCTTGCTCAGCGCAGACCCTGCTCAGCACAGTTACCTGCTCGTGTCCTTGCTGGATTCTGATATCTGTTCCTATTGGCAACGAGTGGTGCCAGTTCCAGATGTTGTGAAGCTCTGGTTTGCCCGCCCAGCACAACATTGTTTGCATAGCTAAACCATGGATCCTATCTGCCCTGCACTGCTGCACGTACAGCATGGAAAATGGGGCATCCGTCCTACACCACCACAAGCTGTGGCAAACCAGCTTGTGAGTTGAAAGTGGCTAGGATTTCAGCCACAAGCTGATTTATAGTATTGGATCATTGTTTCCAGCTGACAGCCCTTCCTGAGCCACTGGTTTTCCTGTCCCTCTCTGAAGAAAGCTCTTCTTGACTGGTGAGTCTCTGATGCTACATTTCGTGATGTTGCGATGAGATTTCAAGACAGACATGTGGAGAAGCTTCAGTGGTAGCAGCTTTTGCTAGGATCAATCACTCTGCACATATCAGTTAGTAAAAATTATAGTCTTGAGTGGTGGTAATAAGCTATTCATCTGCTGTTTTCTCCGCCTTTCATTTTATTTCCCCTTCTTCCCAAGGAAAGAAAAATAACCTGGCAATCTCCTGCTTCTCAAATGTACTTAAAGCTCAGTGTTGTGGAAAAAAAGAGCCTCGCACAGCCCTGCACATGGAGAATGCTGCTGAGATGCACTTAATGATGCCTCTTAGGATCAGCTGTGCTGCTACAAAACGCTTCATTTCCTGTGGCTTGCTTTCTTTACAGGCAGAGTGCAGCTCCAATGGCTCTCACAACAATTAGCACCCACTTGTTCTGCAGGTTTGAAGTTTTTTGTATTAGTCAGGTTGAGAAATTCATGGTATTAATCATGACTGAAGTTGTTATTTATCACCTGCTGGGTGAGAAATAATAATTTTGGCACTACTGGGGCAGCAGGCCAGAAGTACTAAATTAAGTAAAACATCTAAACACTAGCAAGGATCATTTCTCTGATTAATGAATTGTTACAAAGAAAAAGTGCTACTCATTATCTGATCTTAGAATAAAAGTAGGAGTTGGAAGTAGAAAGCAGTAGCAAAGTCGGGGTATACTCTGATGATGTTTGAAACTTTCCTGGCTGATCTCTCTTCTGTCATTCCCTAACTGCTAACATGCGCTCATCTGCGTCAGAGACGCAATACTTGGCTCACAACCCCAATTCCAACTTGTAGCTTTTGACAGGGCTACAGCATTTGTGTAACTGCCTCGAAAGAATCGTTGAAATGACTTTAACCTTCTAGGGCTTGTCTAGGCTGGGAGGTTTTGCTGTAGGAACAGGTCCCAGCCTGGCAAAACACCGTTGTGTGAAGGCAATAATAGGAGTAGAGGAAACAAAATCAGCGACATCAGTAGGATTTTTACACCCAGGTAACTGTATCCATACTGGGGCCATTAGTCACCTAAGGGATTGAAAGACCCCACAAATTCCAGCTGCCTGATAGAAG